CTACCATTGTATCATAGAAGCTCACAACTTCTCTGGTTTCACAGCTATATAGGAATTTTGCCTCAGGTGAATCAGATCATGAGTCTCTTGCATATCTCATTTAGAGGACATTTTTTAGATGAAACTTCAGAGTGTAAAATTTAGAGTTGACGTGGGGCATGTGGGTGGCTCAGTCAGTTGAGCATCTGACTTCAGCTGAAGTCATGATCTCGTGGTTCATGGGTTGGAGCCCCACGTTCGGGCCTGTGCTGACAGCTCAGAGCCTAGAATTTGCTTCGCATTCTGTGTCTCCCTCTTTCTCTGCCCCTCCCCTACTCACACACTCTCTGCCTCTCTCTCTCAAAGATAAATAAATATTTTTTTAAAAAATTAGAGTTCATGCTGGAATGAGTTAACACTTTGGAGCTGTTGGGACAAGAATAATGCATTTTGCATGTGAGGGTATGGATTTTGGTGAGCCAGGGGAGAAATGTCCTGGACAAAATGTTTGTGTCTCGCAAAGTTCATATGCTGCAGCTCTAACCCGCAATGTGACTATACTTGAGGATAGGGCCTTTGTGGAGGTAATAAGGTTAAATGAGGTCATAAGGGTGGAACCATAATCCCATAGGACTGGAGATTATGAGAAGAGGAATAGAGATCAGGACTGACTGTCTTTCCATGTGCACACAAGGTGTGTGAGGACACAATGAGAAGGTGGTCATCTATAAGCCAGGATGAAGGCTTTCACCAGAAACCAAGCCCACTGGAACCCTGATCTCAGATTTCCAGTCTCTATCTATGAAAGAATAAATTTCTGTTGTTCAAACTGCCCAGTTTATGGTCATCAAAACATCTAGTTGTGTACATGTTTGGGGGAAACTATGTAGACAGCTCTGCACACAGAGTGCTACTATCCTCCCCATTAGAATCAATCTCATGTTTAGTTCTTAAAATAGTTTGTTCATTGTGGCTATAATCTTTCCTACATTAATAAACTGTAAAAATATCTTCTAAGCACTTGCAAGAATCAGTAAAGAAAGTAACTGAGCTGGGATGCCTGGGGGGCTCATTCGGTGAAGCATCTGACTCTTGATTTTGGGTCAGGTCATGATCTCGTGGTTCGTGGGTTCAAGCCCCATGTCAGGCTCTGTGCTGACAGGGTGGAGCCTGCTTGGGATTCTCTCTCTCCCCCTCTCTCTGCCCCTTCATTTTCTTTCTCTCTCAAAATAAATGAATAAACAAAAGAAAGAAAGAAAGAAAGAAAGAAAGAAAGAAAGAGAGAAAGAAAAGAAAGCAACTGAGCCTGAGAGACATAGAAAGGCTCACACATTAGAAATAGGTTTGATAGGATAAAATACATTGAAAGAGATTAAACCTAAAAGTCTAAGGCTGGGAGTACATAAATCCCAACTACCAGAGGTGCGATGTTTCCAGAAAAATGGTTATATGGATATTTTAGGGTCTTTTGCTAGCAAAATTGGTTGGGGTCTTTGAATAGGTTGGGATGGCAATTATTGTCCCCTTCTTTTAAAAGGGAGAATGGAATAGAAGCCCTCATGACACAGCATTTAACTATTCCACTTTGTGTTTCAAGGGTGCTTTTGACCCATATGATGAGAGAAAACTATATTTTGTAAATAGAATATGAAAATCTTTCTGATGGATTACATGAGGAGTTATTAATGAGAATATTTAAGAGAAAAATTTTGTAGATTTTTCTCACTTGTGTGCTTGTTTAATTTTCTACTGAGATTGAACAAACAGATGGTTCTCTGTACTGAAAACTGAGCTTTCTGAGGAAAAAATAAGTATCACTTCCTTGGGTATCACATATAATGTTTCTCTTCTTCCCCTTTGCCACTTCCATTGTTTAGGGACTTACTATATTTTATAGGTATACACTACTATTTTGGTCACAACTGAGATGCCTAAATCCTAAGCTTCAATTCCTATATTATGGTTTTTGTGTCAGAATGATATTTGAATTCCAGGTCTAAAACTTCATAGCTCTATGAATTGAGAAAGCCAGGTAACTGCACTGAAATTTAACTTCCTTGCATGAAATGGAATAATAATGAGCACCTTGCAGAGTTGTTAGAAGAGAATATATATAAATGCACCAATTTTAATACCTGGTGTATATTTGCAGAATTGGTTTCCACAGGAAATATATATATATATATTTTTTTTTCATTCACCTATATCAATCCTGACTGCACATATCTTTCAATTTTATCTTCTTCTTAAGATAAACCTTAAGTACTCTAGTTTGTAAAAATTTATGCTTTTTACAGAGTACCTAGTATTTACTATCTATATGATTCAATTTGGCTTTTAGGCATATGCTTTCTCTAGATATTTATTTGATTGGAACACAAAATTGCATACGTATATTAGTCTACGGTTCAGTCAAAAACTAGTATTTCCCCATCACATTCACACACACTGTAAATAGCTTTTCTTAAACGAATATTTATAATCTCAAATGACCAAAAGAGATGCATCATTTTATTTTCCTTTATATGCACAGAAAGACAATTGTGGACTTCAATAAAATTGTTTCCAGTCCCAAAAGGACAGCTGAGGTTAGCTATTGTGATTTCTTCAGAGATTCAAATCTTAGGCACTTGTTAAGCATGGATAACACATGTTTGTCTATGAATTATGGACCAAATCCCATGGTAAACACCAAAGACAATGCAAAATCAACATCATCATCATCATCATCATCATAGATGTGTAGGACCAAAAAGAAGATGACATAATTGGTGAGAACTGGGGAAAGTGTTGGCATTTCCTTCTTACTACTGTGTAGATCAGAGTAAATTTTTTTTTAATGTTTATTTATTTTTCAGAGAGAGAGAGAGAGAGAGAGAGAGAGAGAGAGCCAGAGAGAGAGAGTACACAGGGGAGAGAGAGAGAGAAAGGGAGATAGAGAATCCCAAGCAGGCTTCAAGCTGTGAGCACAGAGCCTGATGCAGGGGTTCAAACTCATGAACCGTGAGATCATGGCCTGAGTTGAAATTAAAAGTCGTGCGTTCAACCAAGTAAACCACCCAGGTGCCACTCTTCTAATGCTCTATTTTTAATATTTGAACTAACACTGCTAATTTTTAAAGGGTTCTATTTTTTTAAATGGGGCTTATGTAAAATTGGTTGATTAATGATGATATTATCAACCATGCAGTTCTTTTTTTTTTCAAGTTTATTAATTATTTTGAGAGAGAAAGAGCAAGAGCGAGCCGAGGAGGGGCAGAGAGAGAGGGAGAGAGATTGAATCCCAAGCAGGCTCTGCACTGTCAGCACAGAGCCCCAGGCAGCACTGGAACTCACAAACCCTGAGACCACAACCTGAGCCCAAATCAAGTCTGATGCTTAACCGACTGAGCCGCCCAGGCGAATTTTAACCTCCATTCATCTCAGCCTTCAAGAAACATAGTTCAGGTGAAGAAACAGAAGTGGTACACAGTGAAAATTAAACAAAGGGCCCTACAAACATCAAGTTTGCAGTATCTCATGGAAAGGAGGCCAGCAATTCTTCCTCAGTAGCTTCTTATCGTTATCCATAATGGAAAATAATAAACAAGCAAACAAACCAATAAAAACCCCAGAACCACCTTCTGGTGTCTTACTACAATGTATCACCGGTAGGTTTTCTTTTCATCAGAACCTGTTCCGAAACAGGAAACAAAAAACTTGGGAGGAAGAAATGCTTCTATTACTTCTAAACTTGGTCATAATTATTTTCCTGTAACAATTATTATTTTTCCTAGCAGGAGGCAACCAGCATACACACTATTTTTATGCGTTTTCATCCAGGCTTTTTTTCCCCCAAGCATATAGTTTATTTTTATTTTGAAACACTACGTGTATGCTTTTACATTTTCCAGATTTCTTGTGCAATTTTTTTAATTTTTTTTAAGGTTTATTTATTTTTGAGACAGAGAGAGACAGAGCATGAATGGGGGAGGGTCAGAGAGAGAGAGAGGGAGACACAGAATCTGAAACAGGCTCCAGGCTCTGAGCGGTCAGCACAGAGCCCGACGCAGGGCTTGAACTCACGAACCGCGAGATCATGACCTGAGCCGCAGTCGGCCGCTTAACCGACTGAGCCACCCAGGCGCCCCTTCTTGTGCAATTTTAATAAAATTACTTTCTATATGTTTCTTCTATTTTGTAAACATTATATAAGTAATTCATAATAAAATACAAAGCACATTATACAATAAAATTATAAAAAACTCTGAGAATTTCAGAATATTTTTTGAAATATCTCTTTACAAGTGGAAGGAAAGGTTACGTTCATTGTTTAACAGTTTTTCTTACATACTCTCCCAAATTATATTTTGCTAAATGCTTTATAACAACTTAGACTCCATACAAAGTATAATAGAGCATCTGTTATTGTACTTTTAATATATTTACTAATCCCATAACTGAGATATAATATTTTATTGAATACTAGCAAACATAAAATATTCCTTTATTTTACATTTTATTTTATTTTGTATTTTATTTTATGTGATTTTACTTTATTTTATTATTACTTTAAAGTTTATCTTGAGAGAGAGAGAGCATAAGCAGGGGAGGGGCAGTGAGAGATGGAGAGAAAGAATCCCAAACAGGCTCCCCCACTGTTAGTGCAGAAGAGCTCGGCACTGGGCTGAAACTCACAAACTGTGAGATCATGACCTGAGCAGAAATCAAGAGTCTGAAACTTAACCCACTGAGCCGCCAAGCGCCCCTCTGTATTTAAATCAATTATGTTTCTATGAGCTCTTCCTTGCTTTTCTTTTGGTATCATCATGCTTTTCTTAACCACGAAAGGGCATGATTTAATCTTGGTCACATTTCTTATTTGTTGACATGCCGTTATATTCTTACAGTTGACACAGATATTTTAAGTTATACATTTAAGTGCCTTACTCTTTCTTTTTATATTTATTGTATTTTAAAAACGTCATCTATGTATTCTTTTTTTGTTGTTCTATTTTGTTTTTCCAGGAGAAAGCGCGAACGCAGTCCCCCACTACCACAAATTATGCAGTCGAGTTTCCCACATTTGGGGAAATCGCAGGGGTCAGCACATCCGGAGTGCAGTGGATAAGCCTCGCCCTGGGAAAACCACCTTCGTGATCATGGTATCTCCCCTGCCAGGTAAGTATTTTGTTATTCTATTTTTAATCCACCCAACAACAAGCTGTCTTTAAAATATCTAAAACAATCATATAAACTACTAACCCGGGTGTTTAATTTATAAAATGTTTTGTGAAAGCATATGTGAATATGTGTGTATGTGTGTGTACTCGTAGTATAATTCAAGTGGCATTTTGACATAGTGCATATAATATCATGCTTTGAAACAAAAATAAATTAGTAAAAATTCTAAGTAAATTACTCTATTATTAAATTTATCTTGGAATAAAATTATTATAACATGTTCAAATATCAGTGTGGTTATTGAAAAGAAATAATATGCATATTATTTGATCAATATTTACCACGTCTAAGAATTTACTTGAGAAAATAATATAATAATTGTTCAAAACTCTTCATCTTTATAATTCATAAATGACTGAACATGTTTGCAACCAGTTTCAATATAACAACAAAAAGTATATCAATATACTTGATATACAAGTAATTCAATAAAGTAACATATGACCATATTAATAAATACTAGGGGTGCCTAGTTAGCTCAGTTGGTTAAGCATCCAACTTTTGGTTTCGGTGCAGGTCATGATCTCACAGTTCATAGGTTCAAGCCCTGTGTTGGGCTCCCCACTGCTGGTGTGGAGCCTGCTTGGGATTCTCTCTCTCTGTCTCTCACTGCCCCTCTCCCACTCACACTCTTTCTCTCAAAATAAAGAAATAATAAAACTTAAAAAAAAAAAAAAACACTACTCAACTATTAAAACATATTTAGATAAATAGATATTCATATAACAATTATAATAATACCTAATATTTATATGATACTTACTATACAATAGTCATGGTTCTAAGGACTTTACTTATTATAACTTGTTTAATCCTAACAACAGTAAAAAGTAAGACTATTTTATCACCAAAATTATACTGCTTCTAGACTCCAGGCTTCTAATCCAAGGTCTTTGATTCCAGAGTCCAGGGTCTTAACCCCTTTAATGCACTGAGAAAAATCAAGTTAAATTAAAATATCTGTGTTGTAGTTACATTTTTGCTTTGGAAAAAATAAGTAAGAAAATAGCATACACAACCAAAATTAGACTATGTATATATAGTATAGAGAGGAGAAGAAGAAGAAGA